GTTGATAAAGGCTGCTGGTGGAGCCAGAGAAGAACCAAGATAAGGGATTGGGCTTATCTGTTCTAGAATTATCTCTAATTTCTTCTAGAAATCCAATTTCAAGTTGTGCCATATTGGAAAAACTCTTTTTTTTTTTAAATAGAATTTATCCAATAAACATGAATCCTCATCTCACCATACTCTCTCTTCCTAATTCTCCTTAGATTGTTTTAACAACTTTTAACCAAAATAGAAGAGAGAGAGAGAGAGAGAAGAGAGGGATGCGTGTGGCTATGTGGGCCTATGTTCCACAGAAAAAAAGAACCCTCCCATGTGGTGGCCCGTGCGCATTAGGGCCAACGTGGGCCCAATAATTTTGCAAAACGCCAAGCAAATTTATAATGACATAAATGGAATTTAGAAAATAAAATGAATTTTTAATTCCTGAAAATACTTATTTGAACTAACTTCAAAGGTCAGAAATAAAATATGTAATAATGTTGGAACAATTAATTTTGTGTTTCATAGTTCTAAGACACAAATAAATACTATTAGAAGCAATGTTTGAAAATTTGGCTGCCTGACAACGTAGGTGGCTACGAGGCCATAGCGATCTGCATGGGCCTAGGTGGGTGCACTACGTGGATATGCCCCTAGGCAGCTGCTTGGGCAAAAAACAAAAAAGATAAAAAGGAAAAAAGAAAGAAGATTTTGACTCGCAGGCATGCATTCAAGACATGGAACTCTTAGTAAAAAATGTGATGGCCTCAAAGTGTTCATGTGAGTTCTCGCTCTCTCTCTCATGGACCAATATGATCTCTCTCTCTCTACATATAAAATGAAGAAGAAAAAGGAGAATACATCCTCTAAGTGTTTGATGCGAGGCCACTCTCTCACTCATGCATATACATATAGACCCATATGCTTTCCCTCTCAACATATATAAGAAGAAAAAAAGTAGGAAAAGATCAAACCCCAAGTGTTTGATGGCAGCGCCCCTCTGCCTCTCTACATACATGAAGAAAATAAAAGAACACAACCTCCAATCGTTCGTTATAAGGTCTCACTCGCACACACACATGGAACCTAAGCTCTCTCTCTCTCTCTCTCTCTCTCTCTCCCTCCCCACCCCCCAAAAAAAAACCCCACTACTTTGGGGCCGCCTAAGTAATCGGGCACCTGCCCGGTGGCCAAATCTGCCTTCTTGAACTTTGATTTGAAGAGAATTCGATCCATTGGTCAAGAAAATGTGATACCTATGCTAAAAATCCATTGCCCTTAGACTATATTCTCAAACCAACCAAACTATATCCATGACCCATAGTTAATTACAGGGGCTCATGATTGGCCATTAAAGTTGGTCAATTAATAACGAGGATACAAATCTTGTATGTGGATTACAAAATCCCCCCAAGGACGGGTCATATCCATATGGATGAAATGCACACTATTGCAATGGTGTAGGGGGTCCTTCCTCCAGCACATGCACATGTATTATCGCTTGCAAGCTTCCAAGCACATGCAAGAGACCGGCCACCTCTTGGCTGAACCACCCTCTCGGCATCTCTTTGACCTCAACATTGGATGACCCTGCAAATCCTCTCCGCTTGTGTCATATGCCCATGGCTAATGGTTTTAGACTCAATTCCAGTCCTAGACCGCTCAACCCAAGTGAGTCAGCCAACAAAACAAAAATTCTATACTAGTCCTTCACGGAGCACACTCCCCCAGGAGTAGATATCCACTATGATCATGAGTTTTAAATGAACTCAAGGCCTTTGAAGGCAAACCCCAGCCAAAAGAATCCTGTTTCTAGAGGCTTCTTCTTCAAACGCCATGTAATCAGGTATAAACCCCACCCTAGGAGAGAGTTTGCTCATGCTACCTGCCCCTTTCAGACTTGTAGCCATAATCCCTTTGACATTCACTTTTCTTAATGCTCTAGGCTAATACCCCATAAAAGAGTGAATCGATTTTGATACCCGTAACATGGCTACTGTCATGAATTTGCTTCTATCATGACATTGCTTTTGCATACATATACTGCTCGAAATTATGAAATTTTGATTCTTGAAGAGATCTGCCTTTGTTTGGGAAAGGTGGTAAAGGGTGTTAAGTTGAAAGGAGGCACTAGTTTTGAATATTGGGTGTAGACTTTGTGCCAACATCTTTGGCAGGCCCTTCAGAAGTGGGTGGAATCCTTTCATAAGTATTAACTTGTGGGGAATAATTTCTCAAAAAAAAAAAAAAAAAATCTCAAAAAAAACTTGTGGGGAATGGCTTGGTTGAAAGGCTTTTCCTGCTTCATGAGTTTTGAAGTGGGAAAGCTGTTATAGCTTCTTAAAGCAATGTCTGTGAAGGAAGTGGTTTTTCTTGATAAATCATTCAGGAAAAGATATGTGAAAATGCACCTGAATGTCTGTCAGCAACCTAAACATGATTGCAAATAAGGGATAGTGCCAACTGTTCTGTTTAGGCTTGGGCAACCTTCTTCCATGGGAATGTTTGATATTTATCTGGTTTTTTTCTTGCTAATTCTGACTGACAATTTTTTTGTGGCAATTCCTCGAAAGCTTACCAAATAGATCGTATGTAATGTAGTTTTTAGGTTTGATCTACTTACTTTTCATTTATTCTACTTATATAATTGATTTTGTTGATAAATTAGCAAAACGATGATATGCTGGTTTGGTATGTTGTTATTTACAGCCTTAGATAACTGAAGTAGTTTAAATTTGAAGTCATCTCACTTTAACATTCTTTTTGTTAAATGCATTATTTGATTGTTTAGGGGTAAGTAATGAATAAAAGTTGTAGTGGGTTGCTGAAATTATTAGTGGATGTTTTTCTGGCTTGTATTATTTTTCTGCCTTGTAGTTGGCATTCATATATTTTAGAGAGGGAGGCTGGTCTTTGTAACTAATGAAGGCAGCTTGTTGTTTATTGCTTGCATTTATAGGCAACACATGTGACCGTCCTTGCTTGCATTTATAGGCAACACATGTGACCGTCCTTTCTTTTCTTTTCTCTCCACCGCGCTCCTGATGCCTCTGATTTCAAATTTTGTCCCATGTTTCTTGTTTCTTTTCAAATTATACCTGATTACGTGGCAATTTGGCTGTTATCATTTTGCGATCTAAAGGTGTTTGATTGTTTCAATTTGAAATACAATTTGTTATTATGTGGTGTGATGGTAGTGGTGGAGCAGGTGGAGTGGTGGCAGTGGTATGGGAGTTGTATGATGGGGTTGGCCGCAGAGTGGTGGAGCGATGGCGCTGGTGGTGGTACAGCTGTCATGGTGGAGAGATGGTGGTGGTAGTGGCGTCGAAGTGGTCGTGGTGGTGATCGTGGCGGCGATGTGTTGGCAGTGGAAAAGGCAGCGCGGTGGCTGAGCAGTGGTCATTAGGTGGTGGTAGTGGCATTGATGTGGTGGTGGTGGTGATCGTGGTGGCGCTGTGTTGGCAGTGGAAAAGGCAGCGTGGTGGCGGAGCAGTGGTCAATAGGTGGTGGTAGTGGAGTGGGTCGTGGAGTGGTGGTGGCCAGGCTATGCTTGAGCGGGGGGCAGAGTTGTGGTGCAGTGGTCGTGGTGGTGCCAATAATGATGGTGGAGGTGGTGATGGGGGTTTTTGGTGGGGTATATATATATATATATATAGCAAGAGAGAGAGAGAGAGAGAGAGAGAGAGAGAGAGAGAGAGAGAGAGAGAGAGAGAGAGAGAGAGAGAGAGTAGTAGTAGTAGTAGTAGTAGTAGTAGTAGTAGTAGTAGTAGTAGTACGTACGTACGTAGTAGTACGTAGTAGTAGTAGTAGTAGTAGTAGTACGTAGTAGTACGTAGTACGTAGTAGTACGTTACGT